CCAGTCCACCTAGAGCAAATGCAGGACAGGAATGTTTGCTCCAGCCCTGCCTGTTTCCCATACCCTGTGGGTAAAACAAAGCTTTAGGCTTTGTGGCTGTGAACAGGTTACTCTCAGCACTGCTAAATTCACTTTTAAAGCAGCATCACGAGGGTTTTTTTCTCGCCTCCTCCCTCTCCACAAGTTCATAAAGTGCCTTTCAAGTAACAGGCCATACCTGAGAATTCCTCAAGATCTTAACAGGAAATCTGGGGTTAGAGAAGGCTGCTGTTGTTAGGATAACATGTATCATAAATATGGCATACTCCCTGCCTGATCCCAACCACTATCCTTATGCTTCACGGCCTCTCTCCCACTTGACAGGCTGAAAATGAGGTCAAATGCTCTGGAAGTGGTTTGAGGCAATTTTTTCTGCATGTAATAAAATGCCCCAAATGAAAGCATTTCTCAAGTCAGCACTGTATGAGCAAAGATGCCTAAGCTGCAGTGTTAAATTAAAGGCGGTGTGGATCACACTGCTGCAATTGGCTGACTTTCATGGACAATCCAGGCCAGCAAAGTCTGTAAGTCGTTCATCTCTGTAAGGACCAAGGTGTTCTCCTCTCATACATCTGAATGGCAGATTTGGTTAATGATAATCCATGACCTACGCTTGCATGGTGAATCCATTCCATTCCATTGCAGCTTACTAGCTGCAAAAGTACTGCTACATGTCTCGCTCCATACTGCTGTGTGGCAAAGGAGAAGGCTGTATATAACCTATCACATATGCAACTATAGACCACGGAAGAATTAAGGGAATGCAAACTAAACTGTAACACCTGGAACTTAAGAAAAACTAAATCCATGTGTTTAGAACCAGTACACAAAGTGTTCAGACCTCACAGTTACACATTTCACTGAAGACATGGTAGGTAGTGGGTACCATAAATTTTTTCTAGCACTGTGCAGCCTTTCCTGCTTCAGATATAAGATTGCCACCTACTGACCAACTGTTCCTGCTTTGGGCGATGCCCCATACCCTGACCCTTCCTCCTAAGACTCTCCATTCTCCTCCCATAATAATCAGCAAGACTGCACTCCATTTAGTTTGCGATATCTGATCTGATTGCAACCAGAGGTCATATAAATGTACAGACCATTAAGCACCAGTTCACTTGGGCAGAAGCGAATGGCTCCATTATACTGAAGTCCAATTACTCCTGCAGCTCCGTTTAAGCACTGAGCAAGGTAGTGAAGGCAATAAAAATGCGATCTGCCTAAGACACGGTTTTGCTGCGGAGATCTGGATATGGAAGGTATTTCCAGATACTTCCAGATCTGTGCTGTTTAATGTGCAACAGGAACACACTGCAAGAAGCTAGATTTACATGTCTGTGACTAGAATATTTTGTCATGAGTTACTGGTTTGTGGTACCTTGCCCCTACCTGCCAAATGCAGAGAGTAGGTTTTTTTAATGACTTCTCATCCAAATGCATGTGAAAAAGTATCCCTGCTGGAAACTTCTCACTGTAGCACAGTTCTGTTTGTGCTGGAAAACGCAGGTATCACCACCCAATAGAACAAAAGAGTGATCTTGGAGGGATTCTTCTCAGCAAATGTCCAAAAATAGCAGATACTGCCAGAGGGTAGAAGGTCATGTAACACCCATACTATAACACTCTTCTGAGTCTGTTCGTTACCCATGACAAGCCAGCCACTCCTTCTGTGCTGCTTGCTAGGCAGTTTCTAATTCACATAGTCTTTATTTAGCTGCTATTTTGCTGAGTACCTCACACATTCTCTGAGGCCCAGTTTTCCTTCACAGAGCTGGGGTAACCGCATTAGGCTGAAATCTGTACATTTCCAAGTTTTCTCTCTTCTTTCAGCCACAGCCTCTGACTCTGAGTCAGACTGGTGTTTCTGATAGGATGCCAGAGAGGGAGGAAACAAGAATAAATAGCATCACACTCTCCTCACATGGGTTGTGGTGCAGAGCTGAAACAGAAGATGAGGAAGGGCCTAGGCCAGTGAGGGAAGGGGTTCAGCTGAAACTAACCTACATTTTGAGGATTCCTTCACTCTAATGGGGCACTGAAGCAGGGGTATTACTAGCCTCCCCTTCTCTCATTCTGGTACCCAAATTGGCTATTACTAGTCCCTAACTATCAGAAGCATGAGCTGTCTGTCTTAACCTCCCAGAGCTGGCAACAAGCTTGCCCTAAGAGGCGGTTAATGGTGTCAGTCAAGAAGAGGGCAGGTTAGCATGGTAAAGGTCACGGACACAGGGAGCCCAGCCCTGACCAAGGATGACACTGTGTTTGCTTCTCTCTGGAAAGCAGCATTAAGTCAAGCACAGGCCACTTCGGAAGAGTAACAGTTTGAAACAGCAGCAGAAAGCTAAATAGCTTTACTGGCAAGGGGAGATAGCTTAAGGATTTTGATAATAAACAACTGATCTTCTGACCTGATTCAAAACGTGGTCTGGTGAGAATGAATGGTGACTCAGCCTCAGAGGACTGATTAGTACTCTGCATGCCAGGATTGATTAGTACTCTGCATGCCAGGATATACCGGCCTCAATCTGATTCTTTGGAGATACCTGCATGATGAAGAGCTCCTTGTATCTAGCACATCCGAGAGTTTTAGGAGGCCACCAGGCTGAAACTGAGTCAGCCACTTACTGCAGTCAGCTCTTTTCTGAAAGAAAGGCCTGATGGTATCCCAGCAGAGGCAAGCTGGGATGAGAAGCCACACACATGGAGTTTTGTGAAGCTCCCCTTAGAAAGGTCCTATGTGCATGTGGATGTCCTCAAAACATTATCAAATGCTTTTCTTAGGTGCCTATAACTTAGTACCTTTGCTCTTCAGGGTGCTGCAGCTTTTAATAAAATACATTCCTGCCTCACTGGTTGCACAGTTTCAAATCTCATTCTTTGTCTTCACCAAACAAGGTACAGCCACAGGGGCACTGTCAGTAGCAAATTGCAGTTTTGCATTAGTACCTTATTTTCTCAGATAGTAATCATAAGCCACACCAGTAAAAAGGCTGCTTTTGCCTCTACTGCATTTACATTAATGCTTGTACTGATTGCGGTTGACTGGTGGGAGAAGAGGGAGAGAAAAAGTACTTTCCACATTTCTAATAGCTCTATAATTTTCTAATACAAGGCTAGATCATGTCATTGGACATCCCAGGGCACATGGAAGGTAGATAAAGACAGGCTGCCCATTCTGGACAAGGAACAGAGTCCCACAGAAGAAAGTAGAGCAAAAGCTCACACAGGTCTGAATCCACATCAGGAGATCACTTTCCTTTTTTTTCAGCAGAGCTACTACAGTGGAGATGAGCTCTAGTATGAGGCAGGAACAGCAGTTTATAACAGTGTGGTCTCATTAAGATCTTTTCAATTGAAAGGACAAAATAAAGGTTGCTGTGTGCAGCTTACACCCCTTGTTGAGTCAGAGGGAGGAGGAAGGGAGGAGAGGCTGGGTGTGCAGCTCTGTCCCAATTCTTTTGATGATGGTCCCAGACAACTGATTGTGCCCTTCCTGAAGTGCACAGAAAACCCCAGGAGACTGCTTTCTGCTAGCCCAGCTGAGGCTCTCTGCACAACTGCATGCAGAGAAGTATTTCTAGTGCCGGGGAGCTGACAGACCTGCAGAGGCAAGGCACCTCTCCAGAAGCTGAGTTGGGCAAGCACGGGGCATCTGTCCACCCCATCCCTCTGCCAAAGCACTCCTGACCTGGAAGGAAGCCACTTCTTGCAGAGGTGAGCAAGCTGCCTGCCCCCCTTCCCAAGGTCCCCCTTCCCCAATGCCTCTCCATACCACTGCAAAGTGCCCTGCCAGTTTTGGGACCACAGATACTTGCCTGTCAGGAGCCCAACCCAGCCCAGCTAAGCAGGAGGTGCCCCTGCAGTCTCAGGCAGCCACACTCGCTGCCCCTGGCCAGCCCGTGCAAGCCTCACACCAGAAACTGAGCTCTGGGTCACTTGAGTAGCACCCACCCCTCCCAGGAGGACAGTTAGGTGGTTCTAATACAGTTTCTATTGTTCAGGAGATTAAGGATTTAGTTGAGGCTTGTGGCATTTTCCCTCTGGGATCTAATTAGACAGCATGAAAACTGAATCTGTGTGTTGATTAACTCTTACAGATTCAACATAAGACATAAGAAGGCTCCCAGCAGAGCAGGGCAAAGGCTTATGTTGCCATTGCTCTGGCTCTGATAGTGGCTGCTAACACATGTCCAGGGAGATGGTAAGACACAGGAAAAGACACACTGATAATTGCTGAAGGCACCCGGTCAGCCTCCAGCACTACCCCGTGCATGTGGTAGTGTACCAGGAGCTGAATGATAAACGTTACAAAAAATCTGCACACTTTCATAGAGAAAGTTTTGCAATGTTTTGCTTAAAGCTGCCGTTCCTGGTATCAAAGGGTTGCATAGGTTCCTTGATCAAAGGGAAATAGGATTCGAACTGTCACAACTGCATAGAAAAGGCTGAAAACAGAACTTCTCTGTACACCAATGCACCCATAACCAGAGGGCATAAGAGGATTTGCCCCCCCCACGCCCCCCCCCCCCGTTTATTCTTTAATAATCCATTGATTTCTAAATTTGAAGGCATCTTCCTTGATGGCTGAACACCTGAGATTAGTAGCAGTACACACAAATATTTTTCCTTTGAACAAAGATCAACATTTTTCTTGACATTCAAGGCACCTTGGCTCTTCTTTTCCGAGACAGCAACCACACGGCGCTCCCAGAGTCTCCGCTAAGCCCTCTGCCTACCTCAGCAAAAGTCTGAAAACACTCATATTCAAAAGCAAGTCGGGTAAAAATACAAATAAAGAACAGCTTTGGGGCCACCTGCAGATGTGTGTAAGCCCACCTAGAAGAAATATTGCTGATATGCTGTGCAGTAGATTTCTCTTGCACGGCCACCAGTACACCTTCGCTAGCCAACTCACTGTTTACAAAGCAAGGTTAGATATAAAACATAAAACCTGTACAGAAAAGACTGCACTAAACCAGATTTCTCATGCACCTTGAACCATCTTATCTGCCCTCTGTCCCAACTCCAGTAAGGGCTGCTAATGTTGCAGGTATTTTAATTAATGGAAATGAATGTTTAGAAAGAGCCAGCTGGCTACAGAAGGGTTTCCTTTGTGTCCCTCTTGCAGATCACACTGATGTGCAGTGTTTGATCTTGTTCAACTAGCTGCTTTAGGGTACTTTGTCCCATGAGAATATAAAAGGAGCTTCTGATCTCAGAGCGTAGGCTATGCTTTTAAGATCACAGACAATGAAACTGCAGGGCATAGACTGAGATATTTTACAGGACATTAGTACTACTAACTACTTTTCTTATCCTATAGCCTTACACTTACATGAGGTATTTTTTTAAAAGAGAGGGAGTAAATCACAGTGATGCATTTATGAGTGCTCTACAGTAACCTGTGACATAAAATTTGAATGTTACTTAGTCTAATTAATCCGAATTCCAAGCTTTTCACTTTCTAATTACATTGTCCAACTCTGGTTTTGCAGACTCCTGTTAAGGTAAACCCGTTTATGGGCATATATGTGCAGTGTCAAGAGCTATAAAGAGAATTAAAATTATTCTTTCATTAAATGCTAGAAATGGACTTTCACTATTTTATTCTAGGAAATCTTGTAAAACAACAATCTTGCACTGAAGGAAAGAACATCTCTTCAAATAAATGCAGTTTCAATAAGAAACTATTTTTGAACAATAAATGCCGACAAAATCTATGAGTATTGTTTGTACAAATGTGATATATGGGCAAACGAATGAACACCTATTTGTCATTATCTGGCACAACCTTAATTTAAGCAACAGTATCCTCAGTTAATGATATAGGAAGAGACTGGAAAGGGAGAGGTTAAACTTTTAATTGGTTGTTTACTGTTTCAGTTCCAGGCAGCATTTATGTATCTGCTCAACACTGGGATGGCTCAGGAATAATAGTGGGTGTAGTGACTGTAAATAAGATGCAGGTTACAAGCCATGATCTCATGTAATAAATCACAAGTCAGATGATCTTGTGGTTTGTGACATCACGGACACTCGAAGTGCTATTTATAAGCTCTACTGTACACTGCCCAAGAGTATTGGCAGTTCAGAAATGCCTGTGAATTAAAATGTTTAGGATTATTTTCTTATGGTCCTTCTTAGCTAGGGTGGCCTATCTGCAGCAAATTTAAGCCAATACAAAAACAGGGTTGCTTGGGCCACAGGTCAGGTGAAGCCAGGCACTTGTGTTCGATGGAAGCTAGTGCAGTTGAGTACACAGGAGTCCTGCTGCTGAGCTGACTATCGCTGTTGCTCTTTCGGAAGTAGTTTTTATTCCAGCTTCAATAAGGTGACCTGAAATACCAACAAAGAAACATTTGAAGAGTGCAATGAGGAAAACATTGAGAGTGAATGAGGATAAGATGAAGAGAAAGAAAGGGAAAATTATCTGAAGGGACACAAGGCTGGAAGGGTCACTCCTGCTACCCCCTGGCTACCAGGAAGTGAAGTTTGTGAACATTAATGCCCATGCCACTGCTTGAGGTGGCTTTTAAAGAAGATGGTAATAGTCAAATTCTTCAGCTGATATAGTACAAAGTTAAATGGTTTTGCTTAAATCTGCTTTGGTCTTAGCACCTTACACTGGGCTAACACAACTGCAGAAGCAGGTTAAGCACCACTCCATTCTGGGAAATGCTGAGCTTTCATTCTTACATGTTAGATACTGCATTATGAGTAGCAAAGCATCAGCTGCTTCTACTGACAGGCTTATTCAGATCAGGATCAACTGATTTCAGAATCAGTCCCTTCCACAGACAGCACAGGCTGCACAAGGGCACTTCTGAGGTGGTTGAGGAACTTCTCCAGGGAACTTACCCTGTATGCACAAGGCTTTAGAAACCAAGACACCACAAACATTTCTAATCTGACTAAGAGAGACACTGCAAAATCCTCAGGCATAATCACTGATTGATAAAACAGACAACAGGAAAAGGATTTAAGCAAGAAAGGAAGAGAGAGTAATAGCAAGCCTTAGAGGCTTATAAGTATTTAACTGAATCAGAAAAAGGTAACAGCTGGTTAGTTAAAAGCAGTGCCCCTGAATAATTACTGCAATTATGCTGAAATATATTATTTTGTTTACACCAAATTGACTGCTACTTTCCTCAGCGCTCAACACATTTATACTGCTGGGAACACCAGCTAAACAAGTCAGCAGCTGCTCCCCCCATCTGCTGTGCCAGCCCCCACCCACGGCCTCACCTCCCCTGGAGGGACTCTCACAATGGCCAGGACATTGGTGTGGCTAGGAAATGGTTAAAAAGTCAATATTTGAATGCTTTAGGGAATTAGAGGGCCTTCCTTGTACAATGTTGCATGAAGGTTTACTGTAGTGTTTATTAGCAGTACTTCTCTAACCAGGACAATCTACTGTTACCAGCAAGGTAATCTGGGATGCCCACCAATATGGCTGATGGAGAAAGGACATCCTCAGGCATGAATGTTTTCTGTGTATCTGACTGGACTGGATGACAAACCTATGCATATTCCATTTGCGTTTGATTTTTACAAGAACTGAGCTTGCCAGCAGACACTATTGTTGTTAAGTGTTTTAGAAGAGGAAGCCCACTTCTCTGGTACAAAAGGTTCAGTATTGCCAGCTGAAATTACAGGCAAAAGAACTAGCAGCAGGTGCCAAAGAGCCAGAAAACAGAATACTTAAGTAAATCCTGTATGAAATATGCATGATACAATTTCCTTCAGCTTTCAGGATCAAGTGACTAATTGTAATTAGGTGAATTGTTAAGGTAAAGCCCTTCTTCTAAAGGAACTTGCAAAGGGTTTCCTAAAATAGCCCTCTGAAATTTCCATATCTCTTTAATGGTCTACCAAATAAAACTATAAAGCAGCCAAGTAGTCACGAACTGAAAGCATCTCCTCCCTTTCCCTGCTTCAGAAAGGTGGAGATGGTGCTCTCTTGACCTGACTGATGGCTGCAGTTTTACCCTTGAAATGACCTCTGTATTTCACTGGAAATAACACTGGTGTACAGAAGGAAGGAAGCAAGAACGACTTGTGGCTGTTGCGATAAGGAATCTCTTAATGAGCGTCAGTGTTGTGGGAAAGCTTTATCAAGGAGGTCTGCTCTCCTATAGGTCTTGAACTCAGTCCATCCTAGTTTCTGGTGAGTGTTTCCACTCAGGATTGAAGTCCTGAAGCTAAAAATTCCTGGTACCCAACGGTGCTTAGTTCAGATTTGGCACTTCCTAAATGCATTCATCCTGGTAGAACAGATTCTGCTATCTCAAGGGCTTGAAAGGGAAAGCAGATGCCTGAGACCTGCAAGGCTGGCAGGTCAGAAGCCTGGTTAACAGCCTCCAATCAAGAACCGATGACTGAAGATAGTGACCAGAAGCAGTTCCCAGCTGGCAAGGGTTCAGCTTCCTGTGTGACATGAGTCAGTGGCACTGGGCCAGTGACCAACGAACAAAGTACCCTCAGTACAGCAAACAGATGCCAGGGACTGGGTGGCTTAGCAAATGCTGGGCTCTTCTCTAGGGTTTTAGATATAGCCTCCTATAGCTGGTGCAGCAGTGTTTTTCAGGGGGTTTGGTAATAACCAAAACCATGAGCAGAAGATTGCATGGGTATAAGGCTATTTGGAAGGCTAATAAAGATATTAGGGCTGAGGTGAGCATACAGAGAAGAACAACTGTACCGCTGGCTTCCTGATAGTGCTTTTCCATCCACACAACTCCACCAGAGATCTACAATCCCAAATAGCAAGTATCAGCCCACTAGAGGCAGCTGACCCTCACTTCAGCAGGGAATCCCCTACAAGGTTTGTGTTTTAGTACTGGAACTGAGCTGAAAGCAGCAGATCTCTGATCTAGCCTTTTGCAGCCTCCTCTCTGTTATGCATGGACAGAATTCCAGGTCTGAACAGGAGGCTGGAGACACCTTCAACTTCAAGCAGCTTTCTTATTTTTCTGAGGTCTAAAATGCCACACCTAGAAATTTCTGAGACAGGAAGAGTTAGCATTTCAAATAAGCAACCTGATATTCAAAGCAGTTGTTTCTGACAGACTCCAAGTCTTTAAAACAAGGTTGTGCAGGGACACAAGTGAAGAGAAAACACTTGGATTAATGAAAGAAGTGAGTAACAATAGACTTAATTAATCAATAACCACACAGACACCCTTTGGAACCACTGCCAGCCAGCTGGAAAGTTTCTCTCTTGCGTAACAAAGTCAAACTCTAAGTGCTTTATTGCTCAACCAAGATTATTTTTTTTTTAAAGCCTTAGGTTTGTGTTTCATCTGGAATTACTGACCTTTCAAAAACATTGACCCTTTTGTGTGCGCTCCTTTTTTCCTTCTGGGTGAAAGGATGAAAGAAAATGTCAAATGACATTGAACTGATAAACGAGGTGTAGGTGTCTGAGAAGTACCTATTGATGGTTTCTCCGGAATGAACAATGTGTCCCAGAACACATTTTGAAATGCGGGCTCTGAGTTGACAGCTCCCAAGACATACCTGCTGCATGTGCCCATGAATGCATGCTGGGAAATGGCCAAAAAATCGTTTCTTTTTTGTCATGATAAGAAGCTGTTCCAAGGACTGTGCAGGCACAGAGAAAGAAAAACTGTCAGCCCTAAGAGATGAGACCTGAAGAGACAAGGTGATCATTAAAAAGGTGAACAGTACTGAAAAGATCAGTCAAGATAACACTGAGTAGCACCTATAACCTAGTACAGAAGTGACTTACCTTAAGAGAAAGGCACTCCTTGTCTGGAATAACTACAACTGCAGGCAGAGCCAGACATGCCAAAGAAAGGCATCACCAAAATGAAACATGGGATATACTATTTTTAGCCGAATGGGAAAACAATCTCTTTTAAAATTCTCCTTCCTGGGGTGTGTGGTTTTAATACAGCCCCCCAAAACTGAACATATCAAACACATACAGAAGGATAGGCTTCCCTCCTCATGTGACCTAGACTACTTTCCTCAGTGGGATACTCTATTTCATCTCCACATAAGCAGATAAATTAGAAGTGCAGAAACAGATTCACTTGAACTGCTTTTTCCTTATTCCTCTTCCTGAGACTCCTCCTCATCTCATATGGGTAAAGGAAAGGTGGACACTGATTCCTAATCCTTTGCTGGTGACCTGGGCACTGGAATTTGAGCCCCTCTTTCACAGTTCCCAGCAAGTTCAGTGTGAATAGTTCTCACTAGCCTTGGGCTAGCTTTGATTCACCAATTAAATGAAAAGACACACTGTGCCTCCCTATCAATATTTGTGAGATTGTATTTCTTCTGGCAGCCATTTTCCAGTTGTCAATATCCTAAGAAATAAAGTGCCTTACCCTACAATACAAATTTGCTGCCCTTAAGTCATCTGACTAGGCTTTTAAAATCCAAACTTCCCCCCCCATGCTTCTCTATAACCACTCATTCTCCTAAGTCATGATAAGTGTTCTGAATGAGATACTGAACAAACACATAGAAAATCTGGAAACAAGCACATACTTACAAAAGTTTTAAAGCTATCACTGCTTTGATTCTCATCACTACATCTTGTTAAAAAAAAAAAAAAAGAAAAAATCCAACAGCCAAGTACCAAATTTCACAAACGCATCCACACCGTAAGTTATGCAATGTAAGGATGATTATTTTACACACTGGGAGGCTAAGGAAGGAGCAGAGAATAGGGACGAGAGCAAATAGTGAAGAATTGCAAGTGTATGTGAAAGACCAATGGTTTTCTTTCTTACGTTGCAGTTGTTAACACCTTTGTGTTGGTTGGGTTGGGATTTTTTTATTGGCCTTCTCTTGTCAACATACAGTAAGTGGTTCTGAGTAACCATCTGTGCGTGGCCTTATAGCTCTGCACCAAGTTGGGTCTTTTCAGATTGATGAACTGTGAAGAGCTGACCACCAGCAAGGCTGGCCTAACCAGCTTTCAGATCCAGGCTATGCAGCTTGCATGGGGGAGGCAGAAAACAGAAGGTCTCTATTTCTCTAAGGCAGTAGCTCTGTACTTGATGTTGTTCTGCATGTTCATTAACCTTTTTCAGTGGTCCAAGACCTGCTACTCTGAAGCAAGAAAGGGATGAAAAGTAGTCCTAGATGTATTTCTGGTGCTGCAGCTTGTTACAGTAAACTACTGCTCATCTGAGAAACTTGAGAGCAGCAGAGGCCATGTTATTCAAATAGTCTTCTGCATAATTAATTTCTGGGCTACGCTGAACAAAGCTGTGATAGGCGGACAAGTGGTGGCAAACATCCAGACCCTAGGCTGGATGTGAACTCTGGAACAGTTTGGTTTGTGGATTTCACAACAGGTTTGGGCTTCTCTGCACTATACCGTGGAGTATGGGACAGAGATACTCCCGGCAGGGCCGAGCTGTGCCAAGGTTCCTCCACAGATCCCTGCATCATGCTGCTATGCTGATGTACCCAGTATAAATGCAGATGCAGTACAACTATTTTTATGCACTGCTAGACCATAGCGTGCTGCTTTCAGATCTGAGTTAGCTAGGGAAGGAGGGGACAGAAAAAACAGGAGAGAGACCAAGTAGCAGGGAGCAACTATTACAATAAATGTAATCTGAAAATAAGTAGCAACATAGTTTATCTTTACAATAGTTACACCTGTGCTAAGAACATCCATGAAGGCGCTTATGAAGTACATTCCTCATGATGCCTTTACAGCTCAGAAGTCACATCCACCTGCTGTATCTAGGGGACTCCTAGAAAAATATCACCTGTCTAATCACATTGCAACACAGGATGCAGGAGTCTGGAATCAGAGTTGTAACCCTTGGCAGGCTCGCAGCCTTAGCACACTGCCTCTGTTTTAAGTCTCCCAACCTGAGGGTTTTTCAGAATGAGTCTCTCACTCACCAAGGATGTTCATGTGGAACAGCTGTGAGATCAACCGCAGTATATTGTGAGCTTGACTGAGGCTTATCAATTCACACCAACCTGGCTAAACAGTCCATCCATTCAAGCCATTAACAATAGGAACATGACAAAGCCTGGTCCTTTCACCACTGTGGACTTTCGACAGGACTTTCAGATACTCCAATCTTAATCTCTTTGGAGGAGATATGTTAATTAGGCTCTGTTAACACAAAGATAAATAATTTTTACAGAACCCAGGCAACCGCTTTCTGTCATAAACCTGTGATAAGTATCTATCATCTCAATTAACTGATGTTACCCCAAGTGCAAGAGATCATGCTGAAGGCTGGAGTCTAAAACAAGAAAGCATTTTATGGATCCAGATCCAGTTTCACTTACCTTTGCATACATCAGCGTATCTGCTCCTAGAACAAGGAGGTGCAGTTCGCTCCTATGATCAGAACTGCATTTCTTCTCTTTACTCCAACAGGTCCTGATTTAACTGCTCTCCTTCTTGGTGCTTAAATTGGAGATGCAATCAGACTATGCCCAGGACAAATAGTTTGTTGGACTGGAGCCACAGTTCTTGCCATCCAGAGTTAAGTCTACAGTGTTTCATGTCTTATGCATATGCTTGAGAGGTTAAGGTTGGACCATTGGTCATGGTCTGTCACTGCTTAGGAACCTCTATATTTGACATGGAAAACCTTTTACTAAAAAAACTCCAAACAAACCAGCAAAACCAAAACTATTGAGAACACATAAGTATGAAAAATCACCAAGTGACTTGGGACAAAGAAAGAAACTTAGTGAAGCTGTCTCAAAGCAAACATACTAGATTTTCATGTATATTGTGGCAACTCTTATGTAGTTTTATTATCTAAGAGAATTTATACTTGAGTAAATTTAACGTTTCGACTAAAGTCCAGTGGATGCCACTTAAAAATACTCAGAAACCTCAAAAAGTGTGTATACCACAGGGTACTGATAATTTCATTTAAAATCCATCTATTTTCTCTCTGTGCTCTCCAGCTTTCCACCCTCGTTTTGGACTAGAAATATAAGCATCTTAATATCACACATTTCTCTCCTATTCTGACATAGTGAACCACTTTAACTATGTCAGGGTATTTACATCAATAGCATTTTGTTATTGTAAGTTCTGTTATTTATACATTTGTGAATGTAATCACTGAGAGGCAGGCTGGATCCCACTGACAGCCCTGTAGCTGCCCATTTCAACACCAGACAAGCTCATCTCATTCAGTTCATCGTTTCACAAAACCCAGCTCAAGGAGTAGGATTTTTTCCCTCTTTAGCCCACTCAACCCAGGCCCCTCTTCACAGATGCTCCTGAAAGTACAGGGTCAAATTACACCTATAAAACTTCAAAGGTTCCCATGGCATTTGTGTTCCCCAAACCCTCTGTTTCCCTTTCCAGGGTCGGTCATTGGGAACCCAATGGAGATTTCCATTTATCATTATTTATATAATGAGATCAGAGCTTGTAGCCTTTCTGTTAGAGCTGCAGACCTAGTAAAATCATAGAAATGCTGGGCTGGAAGGACCTCAGAGATCCCTCCCTTACAACATGCCTAGACCATCACTGGCTAACAAAGCTGTGTTCTTAAAGGACTCCATAAACGGGGACTTCATAGACTTCAAGGCTGCTTCACTGCTTCTCTTTTCCTATTTTCAGAATAAATGAAAATATTTATTCAGTAGATGTATTTTTGGAAGAAATCTACTTCTGACACTTCATTATGCAAACAAAGCTGGCCGCTATTTGTTGCATACCCCTCCTGCCACAGAAGCAGAGATCAGTTAACCCCTGTTCTTTTTATAGCCCCATTGGAAGACAGTTCTCCATGTTGCCCCTCAATGTTTTTTCTCCTAAACTCAGCAAACCTAATCCCTTCAATCATTTTACTTTGGCCAGATTTCCTAGACCTGTGGCAGTTTTCATTGCTCACCTCCAAGCTCACTTCAGTCTGTGTCTGACACAGAGACATGCTCTAGATAGGCCGATAGTTTTTCTCTGATGTTAGCAGAGAGTTTCTTAAATACCTAAGATATGTCAGATGACACCACAAACTGGATCAGATTTTCTCCAACGAAGCCAGCAACTACATATAGGCAAATTCAGTAACTTTCTTTTTTAGAAGTTTTCTGGTATTATAAGGAGAGTTTCTCAGTTTTCTGGTATGTTCTACACACATCATCCAAATCATGCGAATGAAAAAGCTACAATTGTGCACGTCACATTACCCTAACTCTTGGTCTCATCCCCTCAGCCTACCTGTTTCAGTCACTGGTTGTGTCTCATCTTTGAAATCTTGTGAGAATTGTGGGGATGACTGTCCTTTGTTAGACCTGTGAATCGTTGCTTTAACACGTTGGGACTTCAGCCTGGTAAGACTGTGGGCATTGAGAGATTTCTGAAGTAATGTAATAATGTATCAGATGACAAAGCACCTGAGAGCACACATGTCAAGGAGAGTTAATCTGGTATTAGTGAGTCTTAACTAGAGAAGAGCAGAGCACTCAGGACGGCAGGTCCTTTGCCCTTCACTGGCTTAGAAGCCTAGCAAAGAGAAACAGCTCATGGAGGTGCCTGCATGCCTGCATGAAGAGTTCCATGAAATCATTTGGTAATCCGGGAGGGAAAGATATGAGGTTATGTTCACCACGTGGATGCAGGCCCCTTAGTAGAAATGGCTTTGGTCTTGGATTCTCATTGAACCTCTTTGTTCTCCTCTGATTTTCTGAACAATGTGATTCTGTTTCTCCCCATGAATGTAACTCCTTATAGTTTACTGCAGTTTTGTTTATTCTTTGCATAAAACTTAGGAACTGCCTTTTTTTGTTTCTTCCTAGCAGATGAGCTTGTCTGGTCTTTCATAATTGCCCTGTGGTTCTCCAGAAAAGCAGAGATAGCAGGGTCATGTCTGGATCATTACCATAAGATACAGTCAGGAGAAAAGTTAAAGGAAGTCAGGCTGTACAGTACACAGTGCCATACAATGTAGGACAGCTATTTAGGTACTCCCTTCTCCCCTCAGAGGGGTTCAAGTTGTCATCAGCCTGTTCCCTAGCTTGCCAGCACAAAATCACCAGGTGCTGCAGAAATTGCTGGCAAGCCTCAGTTTAACAAGCATGCTTACAAACAGCATCTCAGTGAGATTCAAGGAGGGAAGTGATCTTTTAACGAGGTGGCAAGTCACTCCACAGTTAGTAGCCTGAGACACTACAGGAAGCCAGATTAATGAGTCTTGTTCATCGCTGTGAGCGAGGCTGGGAGAGAGTGTCAAAAATGAATAATGGAAGTGTGATGGTCCGGGGAGACCATTAGGCCATTTAGTCCAATGTGCTTATCCACTTAAATATTTTGCTTCCACTCACTCCTTTCTTACTTTTTCCTGAGATACTGTGATTCTTCCCCCCTTCTGCCTGCAGACACAAAGCTCTAGCTGTTGCTTGATCTAATTTCTGTGACATTTCAGGCACTCTTCCTGCTGACTTGTTCCATCTGGTTATTACCCTTTCAGTGAGAAGCAGTTCTGTCTGCATCTCTGCTGAGTCTCCTAGTCTGTGTGCTGAGTGTTTCGGCTCCTCCTCCCTGAACAAGCAAGCTTGGGCAGGTTTATAAATAGGAATTTTCAAGCTAATGAGAAGGGGTGCGGGGGTGAGGAAGAGAGAAACTGCACTGAAGTCACTTCAGAGACAGATCCTAATGCTCTTCAGAATGACAGCTTTGCAGGCACAGCCACAGAGGGACATTTGGAGAGGGGATGGTTAAGCACCAAAAGGGGGAAGGGGTTTAAGACTTGGCTCTGTCACAAGTTTTAATACAACTTGGGAAAAGTCATACCTCCTCTCAGTTCTCCATGGACTGAATCCTGTTCCTGCTTCCCTCCCAGCTCATGTACTGTTATACTTGTGGGGCAAGAATGGTCTATTCCTATGCATTTACTTGTAGATCGGTAAAATAAGGTTTGCTTCTTGCTGGGATCTCCCAGTGTTACCACGATAATACAGACTTCTGTTTAGAGGCAGTGCCCTGGCTCATACACACGACATCCTTCCGCTGGGGCACAGTATGCGCCTTGCACTGTATGACTTCCCCCCCCCCCCACTTGTTTTTATTATCCCCACTTTGGGCTGGCAAAGCAGTACAAATCCTTCTGGGACTGAAATCCTTGTACTGACTTCCAGCTCACTTTCTAGAAGAATAAGTCATTTCCCTTATCTGTCATGGCTTGACTTCGCGAACGAAGATTTGGGAAGGGCATTTACCCACGCTTACTACAAGCGCGCTGGTGACTAAGAAGGCCAATGTGGGATAGGCAAATCCGGCTACAAAAAGCACAGCAGAAGGTCTCCTTGGGTGGAACAGGTGGGACACGATTCTTCCTGCGTTGTCTTTTCTCCTCGAGACTAGTTCTTCGTGAGCTCTCAAAGGAGTCAGCGGCATTATGTATGGTGGAAAATTTGTGAAATACTGGGTACTATGGTTTTACAGGTCCTTATCTGTACTATGAAGACAAAACACAGCCAGGGTGACCTAATTCATACAGATGGCATGTGGATCAGCAGCTTCATATCTGGACAATGCTCTGCATAGGATACATGGTTTTTTAAATTCCAAGTGTCACTGTATTTGGTATCTGAACCAATGAACAGGGACCTACTCCAAAATGACAACAGAGAAGTGGCTGTGAGGCATCTCTCTAATGCCATATAAGCATATGTGATAAAAGAGAGGTGGGGGCCAAACATACTAAACGTAGTATCAGATATGAACAACAAATCCTGCTACTGAGAAGCCTTCTAAGAGTTATAAGATTATTAGACAAGTACTCTCCACTTTGCAAGTCCTAGGAGTCAATGTGACTTCTGCAATGCTTATTAGATATGTGGAGAGGATGTGAGATCAGATGTAGAATAAAAACTGAGTCAAAGTGCAAATGGGTAATTATCTGGAGTCATCCCCGATTGCCTCCAAACATGAAGATTCTGCTGTAAACTGCAGGATGTTCTGTCTTTGTCTGCAGTGGAAAGAATCCATATTCATTATAGTGCAGGACAGCCAGGATGTAGACATGCTCAAAATACTCAATGTACCCACAAAAGAAGTGATGCTCCTGTATCCCTTAATTTGGACCTCACACAGACTATATCTCAAGCATGCTCTCCTCTTCATCCACCAAATTAGGAATGATTTATTGGAGAGATAAATGAACATAGTCCTCTCTTTCTTGTGTCTTCTCTTTCAGAAAGTCCTTTCTGAAGAGGTTTGGAAGCTTTCATGTCCAACCATGGAAGTGGTGTAAGATCTTCCTATATTGTCTCCCCTTCTGGAAGAGACCCTTGTTTAGTTCACAGTTAAAACTGATCACTAAAACACTGCTCTCCAAACCTGCAGCTGCAAGAACTGGCTGTTTAGGGCAGTGGCAAGAGCCACTTGAAACATTCTGGTATTTTGAGATACAAAGAATTAACAGCAGCTTTGCAGGAACCTGTTCAGCATTCTGAGGGATATCAAAAAAGCAGGAGATCAGCCATCATTTACCTATTCCAGGTTAGAAAAACAGTATTCAGATGGTCCTTATATTTCTACCCAGCAGGCTAAAGGCATGCTTAGTAAGAAGATAAGACTTTCTTCTACTCCCAGATATTCCCTTCTTCACAAAACTCTTCAAAAACTTTCAATGACCTCTTACAGATAGCTTTATCAGCCCAGGTGCTTGCTGGGGAGCTGTAAGACATGGCAGCAATGTCCTACCAGCAGATTGCAATCAGACAGCGATGTGGAAGGGGAATGGAAAATTTAGTGCTAGTATTTTATTAGCTGAATGTGATGCTCTTCTGAAGCCTTTTGGCAAAGTTAAAAGGTTGATGGCATTTTTAAAGAATAGGCTGAACCACAGCCAGCTCATGCAGTTTTAACTGGAAATGTACTGAACCTCTCAATGAAGTACTACACTACTACTGCCACCTGTAATTACAGGAGAAACAGGTCTTCTACACACTGAAGAAGAAACCGGTTCTGGTGGTACTGGGACATGGAAACGTGAAATCTTCAGCACCATTACTACTGTCAGCCCTCTAGGAAACCTGCTTTTGTTAATGTCACAGAGCAATGCCTCTCTGTAGTAACACATTAGCTCAGGAAAGGTCTTTTTCAGAACTTCTCCCACCTAACAACCATGCTTCATTACTTGCCCTTTTCAGAAGCCAGTTTTCTATCTATTGCTTCTGTGGCTCCAGAAATACCGTGCTAAGTACCCATCTCATCTCTCCATAATGATCAAACACACCTTCTGCTTTGCAGAACGTGTTGCACATCTGTAGGTCCTGTTTGCTCCCCGGTGTCCACACTGCCAACCACTGTTTTATGCACAAGAACAAATGGCCTAACAACAAACCAATTAAACAGGGCTAATGTCGCAACCTACTGCACTACTTGCAGCCAGGGATAGGTCTGTTCATTTCCCCAGTGGATCTGTTCACTGATCTAGTACTGTGGTGCTGTGATTTTCAACCCACAATATGTGAGATCCCAAGGCTCTGCCAATTATTTTTAAGGAGTATATGGATAAAGACCAAGAAAAGCAAACCTACTCTTCCCACAGGAGCCCACACCTCTGCTATAATTTTTAGTGGCTGACAAATTGGAAGAAATTGGTGTAACAAGAGAGGATATGTTCCCTGGGGCATTGAATTTTGGGGAATTGCTGAGGAACTCTGCCAAGTTGTAACAGTTGCAGTGCCTAGTTAGCACCTGTCTATGAAGAGTGCTATTTGTGAAATAGCTAGGGGTGCACGGAGTATGCAGCATCTATTCCTTATTCCATGCCTGGATGAGACATCTCATATGAACAGTAAGTTTCCTTTGGGTCATTTCAAGCCAGTGCCAACATCAAGAATCATAGAATACCACACTGGAAGGGACCTCAGGATTCCTCTGATCTGGCCTTTCTTGGCAAAAGCACAGTCTAGACAAGATATCCCAGCATCCTGTCCAGCCAAATCTTAACAGGGTCCAGTGATGGGGAATCCACCACTTCCCTGGACAGATTATGCTAATGGGCAATTGTTCTCACTGTGAAAAATTTTCCTCTTGTGTCCACTCGGAATCTCCCCAGGAGTAACTTGTGTTCAATAAACCCTTGTCTTTTCCATATGACTCCTTGTGAAAAGTGAGTCTCCATCTTCTTTCTAGTCACCCTTTAAATATTGGAACATGGTGATAAGGTCTCCCCTGAGCATTCTCTTCTCCACACTGAATAAACTCAGTTCTCTCTCAGCCTTTCCTCATACAGCAGGTTTGACACTCCTTCGATCATCTTTGTGGCCCTACTCTTGACCCTCTCCAGTCTGTCCACGTCCTTTTTGTGTAGCAGGGATCAAAACTGAACACAGTACTCCAGGTATAGCCTGGCAAAAAGTTGAGCCGAACAGAATAATGGCTTCTTTATCTCTGCTGGTAATGCCCTTGTTGATGTAATCCAGCATCCTGTTGGCTTTCTCGGCCACAGATGCACACTGTTCACTCATACTGAGCTGCTTGTCCACCAGGACCCCCAGGTCTCTTTCCACAGAGCTGCCCCCGATCTGCGTACATTCTGGCCTATGCTGCACTCCTGGATTTTGTTTTCCCAGGTGCAAGACTTTATATTTGTTTTTGTTGAGGTTCATAGGGTTCTTGTTAGCCCATCCAGGTCTTCTGCAGGGTGGCTCTCCCTTCTGAAGCGTCCACTTCCCCACAAGTTTGGTATCATTGGCAAACTTCGCTAGGATATACTTGATTCCATCATCCAGATCATTTATGAAGATATTAAATAGCATTGGGCCCTGGGGGACCCCACCTGTAACAGGTCTCCAGCTGGAAAAGGAGCTCTTCACCATCACTATCTAGTTGTGGCATGTCCACAGTGAGAAGGAAAAGCATCCTGAGCCACTCTGACTACTCCAGATGAACCTAAATTAGACACCTGAAAAAAATACACTTCTGGGAAAACATTAAGGCTCTGTTTAAAAACCACACACAAAATCAAATATGTTGCAGAAAAAAATTTCCTTTTTACTCTCCCTCTCCCAGCTTTAGTAACATGTTGCTATCCCAAAAGTCTTTGTGGGATCAGCCCCCAAACTTTGCTTTTTTCCCCTCCCAAGTATGCTGCTCTTTGGTACAGTGTTGGATGCCCAACCAGCATCTTTTACATATGAATCTTCCTACCATGCCTGAAAGGTTTCCCCCCTGCACATGTAACTTCTGCCCCTTTTCATCATGGCACTCTGCTCTGGCACAACTAGTCTGTGTTGCCTCGAGTGCAAACCACAGTGAAGTACATGGCTTCCAGCAGGGCAGATAGCTGGATGCAGAGGAGGACTTAGGAAGCCAGGTAGCTCTGCAGGGGAACAGCTTTTCTCTCATTAGGATAATGCTGCTATCAGCACACAGTTGTCCCAGTCAGTTAAAATGAACTGATTATAGGTACCCATGCCCTGAATAGACCTCCTGAAGGGTTTGAGGGGCTCTCCAGACTATACACTCTTAACATCTTTGTTTGTTGGTGGCAATTTCTGCCAGTAAGAGTGTGTGGAGAGAAGCATTGAGAAAAAGCTTCCTTCTAAATCCTACCCGTCAGCTTTGCTCACACTCCAGGAGATACCTGTTAACTGGAACACAGGAGAACTGTTTTCTCTGTGGCAATACACGTTTAGTAGTCTTTTGCATCTGACAAAAAAACATATGCACTAAAATACCATCAGATGGTAAAAAAGCAAGAGAATACTACTGGGATGAATAACTAGCTTCCAAGTTTACCTGCGCATTGGGGCATATTAAAGAGACACTAGATAGGATCCATTCAAAGCAACTGGTATGTAAAGGCATAGCAGCAAGATAACTAAATGCAAGCTGCAAGCTCGTTTATGCCATATCTAAGGATTTTGTTGGAGTAAGGTATCTATTTTCTCTGAAGAGCCTGATAGCAGCTTAAAATCCTGCTGAGTCTTTACATCACTATATGGATTTAA